AACGAGAAGGGGGGGGAGAAAGCTCCCTGCCACTGGGACATGGGCACGCCGCAGTCCCGTCTCCATTTCTCCACCCTGTCGGGATTTGGGACACGCATGCACGTGTACATGGCCACCGGGGCCAGGATTCAAACCCCACGTGGTTAACCTTTGGGGCCTTGTTTCTTTAACCACCAGGCTATGGGGCCAGGCATCCCCAGGGAAGGTATGAGGGCCGAGGTGGTGGGAAGCCTGGTACCTCCTTTGCTTCCTGGTGACCTCGGGATGGGGACTTCGCCTCTGGCAGTGTGTCCTCGTCTGTGACGGGGACACGAGAGAACCTGACCGCACAGGGCCAACGTAGCAGGGACTCGACAGGATGGGGCAGAAGAGCCCTTAGCCGTGGCGTGGCCACACGCTCTCTCCTCCGAGCAGGCCTCTGTGCGGGCGGTCCCGGCTGCAGGCCTGTGTCCCTCTCGGGTACCCGCAGGTGTTCTCCAAGGCAGAGCTGGAGCTGATAGCCGGCCTGTGCCAGAAGCACGACGTGCTGTGCATCTCCGACGAGGTCTACCAGTGGCTGGTCTACGACGGGCACCGGCACATCAGCATCGGTGAGCCGAGCCCCCCGGGCCCTCCCTGCATGACTCTAGGCCGGTGATTAGGACTGAGGACGCACTGGGGTTGTGTGAGTCAGGCGCGGTGACTTCACTCTCTGAGAACAGAATCACAGTAGCACCTGCCTCCCAGGGTTGTCCTGAGGACATGATTAAGTAAGTCCTGCAAATAGCTTAGTGCAGAGCCCAGAGTATCGGGAGCCTGTGGGCCCCCCGCCCCATCCCAGCAGCTGTTTTCTTTGGCCTTGGGCAGCCAGCCTCCCGGGCATGTGGGAGCGGACCCTGACCATCGGCAGCGCTGGCAAGACCTTTAGTGTCACTGGCTGGAAGGTGAGTTGATGAAGGCAAGGGACACGCCCCTCCCTGTGGTCCCGGGCAGGTGAGGCGAGCCTGGGAAGCAAGGAAGGGTTTGGCCAGGTCCTGCAGGGCCTCACCCCTACCTGTGTCCCGGTCCAGGTGGGCTGGGTCCTGGGTCCGGATAGCATCATGAAGCACTTGCGGACGGTGCACCAGAACTCCATCTTCCACTGCGCCACGCAGGGCCAGGTGAGGAGGGAAGGCGCGGACTGCTGGAGGCAGGGAGGGGGCATCGGGGGAACCCAGGCTGGCCCCGGTGTGGGGCGCACGCCATCTGTGAGTCTGCCCATCTGCCCTGCCCAGGCTGCGGTGGCCCAGAGCTTTGAGCGGGAGCAGCAGAACTTCGGCCAGCCCAGCAGCTACTTCATGCAGTTCCCGCAGGCCGTGCAGCACCGCCGGGACCACATGATTCGCAGCCTGCAGTCGGTGGGCCTGAAGCCCACGGTCCCGCAGGGCAGCTACTTCCTCATCACAGACATCTCAGACTTCAGTGAGCAGGACTGGCCCGTCTGGGCAGGATACGGGGGGGCTGGAGGCTGCTGAGGGCTGAGCACAGCCTCTGTCCCCCAGAGAGCAAGATGCCTTTGCCTGGTCCTGCGGATGAACCGTATGACGTGCGCTTCGTCAGGTGGATGAGCAAGAACAAGGTGGGCTGAACCCGGGCCGGGACGAGCGGCAGGTTCACGGGCTGTGCGCTGCTCAAGGGTACACAGCCAAGGGGCTGATGGGGAAAAAATCCAGCCAGCCCCTGCATGAGCTCTGGTCCAGGGTTGTACTCACGTCAAGAAGCAGGAAGCCTGTTCCTATTGATAATTGGCACAAAGATGCCAGTGGCTGGCAGGGTTTGCTGCCCCTCAGTGGGTCTCGGGCTTCCATCTCCGGTGAAGAGTTGGCCCATGAATTCTGAGGTCCCTGCAGCTCAGACCTGTGAAGCTCAGGCTCAGTACTGACTGCTGTGTTTGCCCCATCTCCCCTTTGAGCATAAGAGGGATTGGAATGGCAGGGGCTTCATTTCCTCTACCCCAGACATGGCCCTTTGCGGTCCTATGCTGGAGCTCTCTTCCTGGAACAGAGGCCTGCATGGCCACAGGGCTGTGCTGAGACGTGGCTTCCTTCCCCAGGGCTTGGTGGCTGTCCCCGTCTCCTTCTTCTACAGCGTGCCTCATCGGAAGCACTTCGACCACTACCTCCGCTTCTGCTTTGTGAAGGTAGCAGGCCAGGCTGGGAGGGAAGGCCTGGGCTGCCCCGGCCCACCCGGGCGTGCAGAGAGGACAGACCGATCTGTGTTGGTGCAGGATGAATCCACACTCCGGGCCATGGATGAGAGGCTGCAGAAGTGGAAAGCTGAGCTCGGGCCCTGACGTCCCCCGGCGGCCTTGCCCCACCTGGTTCCTGCACTCTTCAGGGCTCTTTGTCCAGTTTTCATCCATTCCCAGGTCGGGGGAAGATGCTTCCAGGGAACCTCTCCTCTGTGACAGAATGTTCCAGGGAAGAGCTCCCTATGTGGGTCAGGGGGAGTCAAGAGTCCACTCCCCACATGCCCACACCCCTGTGGAGGTGAGGAGGCCTGCCCTGGGCCTCCCCCTGCCCTTCCTAGTCTGGGTCACAGAGTCCCTCAGAGTGTGGGGCCGTAAGTTCCAACCCTGGCCCCGCCCTACCCTGGTCCCCACTAAGGCTCGGGTGTAACCTCAGCCTTCCCTCCCCTGCTCGACCTTGAGACGTTGCCTTTAGGCCCGAGTTCTCAAGCCAGTAATTTTGCCTGTAATAAAGTCCCAGATTATTTAAACTTTGCTTGGCTGCCTTGGGCTTCGCGCCGTGGTGCTGATTGCTGGGTGGAATGGAGGGCTCTTGGGGAACCTCGGACCCCACCTCTCCTTGTACAAATGCTTTTATGGAGTGACACCAAGGCCCAGAGAAGGAACAGGACTTGGGACTTGCCTGAAGTCGCATGGTGAATGGTAAAACTGGGCCTAGAACGTAGGGCTCCCAACTGCGGGCCTCACTTCTGTCGCTATTCCTGGTGCTGGGTGCGGCAGCTGGGCCTGCAGTGGTGCGTGAGTGTGCACGCGCATGTGTGTGCGCGCATGTGCGTGTGTGTGGTGTA